CAGGAACAGGTAGTTTGATTTGATTTGGTGCTGCCCCCTATGGCCAGGCCAAACGATGGATGTGACACTGAGTGGGTGACAGAGGGAAACTCCGAGAGATGCCCCCCTTCAGAACTGGGGGGAGGGGGCTGCTTAAAGGTTCATCCCACCTCAGGGGCCTGCTGAGCCAGTGAGAAGCCAGAAGCTGCATGAGATGCATTGATGTGTCAGGATGACCCAACTCACCTATGGAGCCTGGGTCGGGTCACCACCTTCCCCATGGTGCTGGAGGGGCTGCTGTCCAGGCGCCAGACTTCGGGGTGATAGACAGACATTCAGATGTGGGTCTGGTTTTTGCAGCTTGACCTCACTGGGAATGCACCACGGTGGGCTGCAGGCCAGACGCGCAGACCTCGGTGCAGCTTTCCCCAAAGGGTTCCAGAGATTTATGAAACCTGTTTCTGAGCCTGGGCCAACTTTCAGGAAAGGAGCAGGGAGGATTCTCCCAGGAGGGAGAGAGGAGATTTGGTAGCCACCGTGCAGTGCTCACTCCAGGTCTCAACCCTGACCTGCGTCTCTAGGATTTTTCAGAGGAACATCAGGGGCTACCTGGTCGATTTTGACAGCACTCTGGTGGATGGCTGGTACCAAGCACACACCCTACTTAGATGCTCCTGGTATTGCCTGCGGAGCAGATGAGCAGTAAACATGGCCCATGCTCGAAGACTCCCCAGCACAGCATGCTCCTCTCTAGGCAGGGTCAGGCCGTGCAAAGGGCAGCGCATTCCAGAGGGCTCCGTAACGGGGTCACATACGCTGGCTGCAGACCGTACGATCGGAGTTGATGGAATGCAGGACACGGTATCGCCCTCTCCAACGGGCACTGGGGTCAGCACTAGCTCAGATGGGAGAGCTCCTTCTACTGAGCCACACACCCTGCTCCCTGCAGCACAGCGCCCCCTAGCACCACATTGGGGCATTGGGGTCAGCACTGACTGCCAGGGGAGAGCGCCCCCTGCTGATCGCCCCCACAGTGACAGATTAAAGAATTTTGGGGCCCTGTGTGCACTATGGAAATGGTGGTGGGGGCGGGGGGGGGGGGAGGGGGGGACTGGGGAGGGTGGGGTCTCCCCCCAGGGGGGGGGGGGAGG